ATCTTCCAAGTAACGCAAAATTTTACTAGTAAAACATATGAAAAATCTATGGACATTATGCAAATGGCATATATGATTTTGAAAGCTCATTGTTTATGCTTTCGGAAAAAAAATAGTAACACAATTTTATACCTTCTTGTTGGATTGTGTGACGAGTGAATGCGTTATAGTATTTCGAATTATAGCTGAACCAAGCAGGAAACATGTACAGCATCTGGCAATGTAGGTGCGCTCAGCGGCAAAAAATTGCTAGAAATGTGTAGTATGACAACGTTAATGATGTACTATATAAGCGTAAAACAATTTTGTATGGAATTGTAAAATTTATTTTATTTATTTACTATTACAAACAATAAAGAATTCGACTTATATTTATATCATAAATCATATTTATTAGGAGGAAGCCAAGGGGAACAATAGCGCAACTGATGCAGAGGATGGAGGAGAGGAAGAAGGAGTAGGAGAAGGAGAAAAAGTCTAGTTTTGGAGTAATATTTGCAAGCTTATTAGAAAGATGAGAAACGATAATTCTGATGACAACACATGGTATCATAATGATGTAAAACCCTTATCACGTCTCGAAAAGGAAAGTAAATATTCTAGTAAGCTCTTACCTACTGGAAATCTGTCTAAACCAAGAAATAGCTATTCAGCTGCGGGTATGAAGACGACAATTGGTTATAAATGAAGTCAATTTACAATATTAACATTGTTCACTGCTTATGATTAGGTGTCTCAAACACTCTTTGAATAAACTTGTAATTCGCGGTTTATTACAAACATGTGTATGTTGAGTGAAAATAAAATCGTGCACGTTTTGCTGTTAGCTGCCTTTGCCGAAGTAGAAAATATAGTAATAGAGTACATTATTTAAAGTTTTATGAAACTGGTAATGATTTGATGCTGATCGTTCTCCATTCGAGCTCTGTTCGCTACGCCTTCCGTTTTAATCCCAATAGAATATCAAAACACGGTGTTTTCTTCACGTGATTACACACTGGTAATGTAAGATCACATGAGAAAACAAATCACCTGACTACCGACATAAAAAATTTTGGTCATCATTATGTGAATTCTCCTCTTCCCACAGTAGGGTCTTATTTGCCTCGAAATTCTGCAGCAATGGTATGGTTATTCCTTACATTATCTCTACTTTTCAAAATACATTAAACCGTCGCATAGTGGCATTATTACGGGGTTTTGGTTATCAATTTCATTACGAGCATGTATGGAAACAAGAGAGAATTTGGAAATCGATCATAGTTCATCTAGAATCGATAGAGACAAAACTTTAATCCATCCATTACGATGCGGTTATTGTGTTTAAGAGACGATCAAGTATTAAAGATATAGGGCATAGTGAACAGATGTAAAGAAGTTCGACTGCTGATACGAGCTTTTATTTATTATTCAACAGCCATTCGTGAAGCAGGTGAAGAATAAAGGTATGTGTCGTACATCGAATGTCATTACTTTTGGGAAATGTTATTTGGTTCTTTGTAATAAAAAAGCTTACTTATCTCTGTACGTTGTAAAATCTCAGCTTATTTCAAGCGATATCAAGTCAAATATCGCAGAAGACGCGGTACGTTCTAAACTGCTTTACTGATCTACGAGAAATAGTCAGAATTCATCTTAATCCTTATATGCAATTATTATGACTACTCTTTGTAAGATACATATACATATATGATGAGAGCATAGTTCATCTGAGATTTGAATGCGGATCAAAAGTTCTTTCGCTCCTATCTGAAAAACAACAACAACAAACGATCGCTGTACAATTTCATGTTGTTAATCCCTTAATTTTGCTAACGTTTGGCATTTGTTTATTAAAACAGAGGGCAAGACCGATTTTTATGCAAGGAGAAAACTTGTTGTGCAAGCCAAGAATAAATATAATTCACCAAAGTATCGCTTAGTCGTTCGCTTCACGAATTCGGATGTAATAGTTCAGGTTATATCCGCACGTATCAGTGGCGACATAGTCCTGACAGCGGCGTATGCGCATGAGTTACCAAGATACAACATTAAATGTGGTCTAACAAATTGGGCTGCTGGTGAGTTGTTTTATTACAAGAAAATACCATAATGTTCAAGTATCCCATTGTCCCATATGTCTTTCTTTATTGATCATGAGTTTTGGTGATTAGCTTATTCAACTGGTCTATTGATCGCACGACGACTTTTGACTAAAATTGGCTTGGCGGACAAGTACGAAGGTGTTCTCGAAGCTGACGGTTCAGTAAGCGAAGTCGAAGCCATTGAAGACGGGCCTCGCCCATTCAAAGTATTTTTAGATGTAGGACTGAAAAGAACAACTACGGGCTCCAAAGTCTTTGCGGTGATGAAGGGTGCCTCTGATGGTGGCTTATTCGTTCCTCATTCTCCGAATCGCTTGGCTGGCTATGATCCTGAATCGAAAGAGCTAGATGCCGAATTTCTTCGCAAATCTATTTATGGTGGTCGCGTAGCTGACTATATGCGTCATCTCCAAGACGAGGATGACGATAAATACAAGCGTCAGTTCTCAAAATTCGTTGCAGCTGGTATTGGACCAGATGATTTGGAAAATATGTACAAGAAAGCTCATGCAGCTATCCGTCAAGATCCTGTCATGAAAAAGACGGAGAAGAAGGGAGATTACAAAGAATTCAAGAAGGTGAGTAGAGTTGATTTTGTTTGTAAATGTGTATTTGTTATTTATCTCATGCATTCCTTGCTTTCGTATATTTTACAGTATAAGAAATCACGACTGAACCTTAAACAAAGGAGGGCAAAAGTTCAACAAAAGATTGCCTCATTTAAGCGAAACCTTGCTAACGACCAATAAAAATTCTGGAAGAACTTTACGCAACACCATATTGATGAACTGTTTGAAATTCGAAATTGCGGAGCGTCTACTATACCTTTTTGGCCATTCATGCGTAATAATCAATGGGGGACTAACATTATCTAAGGGTGTATTCACGATTAACAATTAAACACTGTTCGACTTGTTAATATTGCAGCCAATTAACGTACGGCAAATTTAGTCGTAGATCGACGCTTCTTTTCCACAACGTACATCGCGGTGACATGTAACTGAGTCTTATACAACAATGGGAGTCATCAGATGATTATGACACAAGTAGAATATTGTTTATAAAATCACCGAGAAAGGCTTTTGAGGCTGGAATTGAGTCGAATATGTGTAACATGTTTAGTGAACGCAACTTGAGGACCGAATTAACATGAGCGATGATAATAACATCAACAATTTAGAGAATTGGTTGTATTCCTGCCGTTGAAAGTGTGCCAGCTTCAGCCCTAATTCTTGGCTGTATATCTTGAGATGCGTGCAATAATACATACAGTGCGCGAAAAGTTTTTGGAATGACGTTTTTATTAATCGTGTAACGAAAAACATGAAACTTTACAGATACATTCTTTATGATACGACAAAACGTTTTACTTATTGTTGCTTAATAGCTTATCATTCCCTCAATCATTTCATCCAATCTCGTCGGCAGGCTATGAACCAAATTAACGCTTTTTCAATCTCTTTCAACTGTGACCGTTTGCTTTTTTACCAGCATTTCATTGACTTGTATTTCAACCCGTGTCTTTAAAATTTGCCATAAATTTTCAATCGGGTTGAGATCTGGGCTGTTTGAGGGCCAGTTGCAAGAAGTTTTTAGCTGTGTGTTAGGGTCGTTATCTTGTTGAAAGACCCAATTGGACCTTTTACAGAAAACGCCCCAGGCGTGAACTTTGTATGGATGTTTTACCATAGCTTTGCGGGGAGGTTGTGTCCAGATTTATAATACACTTTTTGGCGTGTTGCTCTGCCCATCCAATGGCAACTGCTACTTCCGCATCATATATGTTTCTTGCACGTCTGTGACACCATTGAGCGTCTCCAAATTAACCATCCTTCGAAAGAAAGGACTGTTTCGCCACTACATTTGTTTCCTGGTGCAATGAAAGGAATTATACCAATATTAATATTTATTATGTACAAAGAGAAGGATATGCACTCGAATAACTAAAACAAGATTTTACCATTCTTCAAGTCAAACGGAAATGGGGACTGCTCGCCTTGTTTATCTCTATATATATATATTTGACGCTATAATATTGAAATATTGTCCCCAGCGCCAATAATTCATTCGGGGCTCAGTCGATCTCGCAGAGGGACAGGGAATTATTCTTCCCTGTCCCATTCTTCCTTGTGCGTATCTCCCGTGCACGGGAGAATAGGCCTCCCAACAAAACTTTTTGAGACATGGTGAGATTTATATTGTTATATAATCGTACTATAGTGGCAGTTTAATCTGGTTATAAACGAACTTTGGCTATAACGAATATCTGGTTTATAATGAGGGTTGTCTCCAAATCAATCATTAAACTTTGCTATAAAAGAGACCTTGTTATTATTATAAGGAATATTTTTTCAAAAGGTGAAAATCATGATAAGTGGTTTGTCTACTTGTCACGTGATTAGATATTGAATTTGTATGATACAAAAGTTTTTTATTTCGGATTTCAAGATTTGTAAACCTAAGTGTGTTCGGTGAGCATCTTAATTTTTACTCTTGCCAGGAGTATTATTGTCTTATTGGTTACGCAATCAAGTATCCATGCTTTTTTTTTTTTTTGGACGGGTAATTTTGGTTTTCAAATTAACTTCGTTACTCCGTCAACTCGCTCTCCATAATCGGGTGCAACAACTTGGAATACATTATCGGAGATAGTGGAAGAGTATTGTAATCCGTCCAGCGGCGATGTACAGATACTAAAGTGTCCAAGAATAAGACAAAAAAAGAAGGAAGGAAGGAAGGAAACATCGTTAGTGATTGTACAAAACAAAATAGTCTCCATTGGCAGATAAACCCTTAAGAATGGATAATCAAATCAACAAGTCGACTTTTATCATTTGATCAACACAAACTGACAAAAACATATTCATTCATAGACAACCACGTCCCTCATCCCCGAACATTTCCCAACTCTTCTGCTTACCCCCAGCGCTTCCTAGCTCGTTCAGTTTTTCCCGCTTTCTCCCTCTTGTTCTCCCCCTTACTATTACCGTTATCGTCATTATCATTTCCACTCAACCAACTCAATGCAGCACTAGTCGATGCTGACCATTCAGAAACGTCATCAATTTGTGATTTTGACAATTCCGAAGAAGGTGGCATGCAGAGAGAGGGCGGGTGGTATGATTCGGAAGAGTTGGCGATGGGGGTGAGAGGTGGAAAGGAGACGGACTGGTAGGGTGTCGAGATAGATTGGGACGAGAGCGAATCGGATGGCGTGTGTGTACGTGAATGCGAGGATGGAAGAAACTGATTTGCGTTAGTTGGTGTTTGCGGAGATGAATATACGGTGTTTGTTGTGGAAGTTGTTTGTGAAGGGTAGTCAGGTGACAAGGGTGGAGTTGGCAGAGGATATATGTTAGTCAACGTGAGAGGCTTGTATGGAAATGTTTGTGAAGATTCATGCGCAGATGCAGTTGTGGGCGTAAATCCGGGCATTTGCCCAGGAAAATCTCGTTTCTCTCTGTCGTCTCTGTAATCCTTTACATCCCACACCCGCCCACCACTCGTCATCGGAGAGAAAGAGATATGCCTCGACGCGTTCCGTTCTGGTAACGGTTGCGGTCGTTTCTCTTCAACGTCGTGTTCGGAATGTATCGAATTGGATGTTGAATTTGTTGCCGACTCTGTCTTTGTGCGCGCTCTTGTGTTTTCTTTAAAAAGGAGAGAAATTATTAGTTAACATGCAATTAACTAGTCTTATGAATCGGGAGTAATAATA